CTGAGGACACTTTAGAGCAGCACTCAGCAATTGATCAAATGATAAAATAATTCACATTCCTGAGACTGGGTGTTTTACCTCGCATGGCTTACCATGTGCATATATTCACGAATGAATAAAGTAGAATTTCCATCAGATTGCAGAGGATTATCCTTTACGTGGAAAAAAGCTGCTGTACTGAATAAACCTTTGTAGTTAGAAATGTCTGGGGTTTCCCTGGTGGTCCAGTGGTTAAGAACCCACCAGGCAATGCAGGGGACAGGGGTTTGATTCCCAGTCTGGGAAGATCCCACATGTCACAGGGCCGCTAAGCACAGGTGCCACAACTAGCGAGTCCATGGTCTGGAACCCATGAGCTGCAACTACTGAAGTCCACGTCCTTCCTCACAGGGAGTCTGCGAGGTAGCGATTTGGAGGAGTGATTCTGGTCCAGCGAGAGACATGTTTTCTGGGGTCCCTCAGCTATTAGCAATGACTGTCATCTATAGGAAAGATAAAATGATTTCCTCTCCAACAGAGCTCTGTCTTCTCAAAGCCGTCAATTTGATTTTCAGTAACAGCCACTAGATGGTGCCTTTTCCTTAAATTTCACCATTTCCATGGCAAGGATTCTGCTTTTGCTTAAATACGTCCTTTACACAGTTTATTTATTTTCACTGAAACTGCTTTCATGACAGTTATTCACACCTATGACCACTTCAGCCTGCTTGGCTGGCACTGTAAAAAGGACAAGTGAGACAAAGCCATGGTCACTGTAAATAAACCAAAAGTAACAGGGAGTTTAGAACCACTGAGGATTTCTTTTTTTTTTTCCTTAAGTTTTTTATTGCTTTGTTCTTTGATCATTTCTCCAAGCAAATCTGTAAACACAGATACTTCCCTGGGTGTCCAGTGGCTAAGATTCCATGCACCCAATGCAGGGGAACTAGATCCCACATGCTGCAACTAGAAGTTCAAATGTCACAACTAAGACCCAGCCAGCCTAAATAGATCATATTAAAAAATAAAAAGCAAGACTCAATTATTAAAAAAAACCCTATAAATATAAAAAAGGATTTTTTTTGGAGAAGGCAATGGATATAAAATCTATCATTTGAATGACTGTATTGTAACATATAACTTAAGACATATTTCCCAACGTTATTTATGTTTTTATTGCATCTCGGTTCTATGACAATTCTTGTTTCATAACATTAATTTCCTCCTCTTGTGTCTAACAGTGAATCAGAAGCTGCTTATTCCCTAGATCTGTCCTCCTTTCCTGTGCCTTCACTCTGAAAGTATAAAGTGGGTCTCCATCATTATTCTTTTGGGGAATCTATCCTAAGAAAAAAATCCAAAATTAAAAAAAAATTAAGACTCCTCAAGAAAAAATGGGGAGAGGATTCAAATCAATAAGATGAGAAATGAAGAAGGAGAAATTACAACTGACATTGCAGAAATACAAAGGATCATAAGAAACTACTACAAGAGACTATTAATACTATGCCAATAAAATGAATAACCTGGAAGAAAAGAAAAAATTCTTAGAAAGGTACAACCTTTCAACACTGAACCCGGAAGAAATAGAAAATATGAAGAAACCAATCACAAGTAGTGAAACTGAAAGAGTGATTAAAAATCTTCCAACAACAGAAGTCTCAGACCAGATGGCTTCACAGGTGAATTTTATCAAACATTTAAGGAAGAGCTAATGCCCATCTTTCCCAGACATTTCTGAAAAACTGCAGAGGAAGGAATGCTCCTAACCTCATTCTACAAGGCTGCCATTCCCCTGATACCCAAACGAGACAAAGACATCACCAAAAAGAAAATCATGGGCCAGTATCACTGATGAAAACAGACACAAAAATCCTCAACAAAGTACTATGGCGCTTTTACAATAAACACATCGATAGCGGTGCTTTGTGGAGGAGAAGGGAGTCCGAGGTGGAGAAGGGACTGGGAGGTGCACGAGGGCTATCTGTCTCCACGGGGTCCTTGAACTTCCCTCCTGGTCCCCGTCCTCCTGCACACACCCTCCAGCCCTCTCCATGTGAACGGTCCATCTCCTCACCCTGCGGGCCAGAGCGCTTGTGCGTCCACCGACAGAAATTGGTTCAGGAGCGGAGCAAAGACTTAAGCAACCAACTCCTTTCCGAGGACGTTCCTGGACTCGACAGCAGGGCATCTCCCCTCTTCAGCTGGGGAAGCGGGCAGACAGTCCCTCCAGAAAGCCAAGCGGTGGAGCAGACAGTCAGCCTCTGTGCCCAAGTGCTCTTGGCTCTTGGGTTTTGACCGTTTCCCGTTTTAAGCCATTTCCTTTTCCAGGCAGCCCAAAGTCCTGGTGCTATAAAGTCCAAAACCATTGCTGATTTTCTGGCTGTGGGGGTGGAAACGCCCCCTCCCATCCTTCACACACTGTGTTTCTGAGGTTCCCTGGCCAGTCCTGGGCGAGAGGACCTGGTGCCTTCCTGCTGGGATGGCAGCATCTCATCAGACATCGTGGACATGGCTCTGCCTGCATCTCAGGAACGAGCACCCTTGGGTCTGAGAGGATTCAGGTTCCTTCCATCAGTGCCCTTTCCCACCACCCTGACAGCTCGACATTCCATGAGAAGCAGGGGTTACAGAGGCTGAAATGCGTCCTCCACATGTGGGCGCGCGTCTCCTCTTGTCTTTACCTCAAGAGCCCTTGGCTGTCAGCTGAGTGCCGTTCAAAAGCCACCCTCTGTGCCCAGACTTCTTGGTGCCAGCCCAGGTCTCCAGAATGACCTGACAAGCCGATCAGTGTTCCCGCCTGGCCCTCCCTCTGTCAGGGACTGTACCTGCAGTGTCCTCACCCAGAACGGTCTTCTCCCAATGCCCGCACTCTTCATCCATCCTTACGGGGCTTCCACGGCCGCTGGTGTGAAACAACCCCTAAGCCTGACTCTTCTCCCTCTACGCGTATGTCCAGCATTTCTCCATGTACGTGTTTGTAGAGATAGGGTCAGACTCACTACTTCCATGCTCTTTTAGCTCCTGCGATGTCGGAAACTTGAATGGCTCTGCAGCATCACTCCTATGACCAGACTCAACCCTCTGCGGCCTGCCTGCCTTCCTGCCACCACCATGGCCACCACTCGCCTACATCTGGTTGTCTCTTAGCATACCCTCATCCAGAGACTCAAACTTCAAATTGCAATCATTTTGGGGAGAAACTATTTCAACAGGGAATCGCCAAGGGACTGAGGACTTTGGCGACGAGTTGACCACACCTGCAGACAGACGCGGTTCCCATGCTCCCTTCCCTGTAGGCAGCTCCTCCATCCAGGGCAGGAGGCTGACAAGGCAGCTCCGTGGGTCAGGGGACGTTAATTCCTTTCTCGGTTCACTTCTCCATTTGTCACGGGTAATTCATGTGAAGCACGGACATTAATCTGAGATTGGATTTTGTGTTGACTATTTTGGTGAACTGTGAATAGTTTCACAGTATCATACTTGGGAAACCACTCCTGGGAGACTGGTTTGGAGAAAGATGATAACAAGGATTGAATATTAGGTGATTAAAATTCAGAAGTTAACCTTTTGGTACTTAAGAGTCCCAACTAATGAAAATACCATAGCAAGTTCCATCTCCAGGTTTTCACTCTTATTACAGTAGATAGCAGAGTCTGACAACACTTCTGTTTTTGTTAGCCCAGAAAGACTGCTATCTCGTTTCTTCCTCAGTTATGTCTCTTCTTTTTAAAAAAACCCACACCAGTCCTGTTAACCCATGATGGACCCTTCTACTTGAATACACATATTCCCACACTTGCCTGTACCCTCATTTTGAAGCTGAATTTTATCCCACAAGGAGGCAGAATATCCTAGCTCAGTCTCAGACAGTTTTAACAAACGTCTCCCCAAATCACAATAAAGTCTCTCTTGAAGTGATTTTATGAAAGCTTCCCACTTCTTCCACCTGTTCTCTCAAGCTGTTTTCCCTCCAGTCACTGACTTTTCCTGAATCAATCTACATTTCCTTCAAGAAGGCATGAAGTGTACAGGAAGGAGGTAGCATTTAGTCCCTTCAATGTGATTGCTTTGAGAGGCAAACATAAAGCAATTAATAAATATTTATGGGACGTGGGCCATTTGCCTGGGCCTACACAAAGTATATGTATGACAGGAGGTATGACAGGATCTTCATGTAGAGGAAGTTCAGAAGAGTTTACACGACTAAGTGCCAAACATGTTCCTACATTTCATACAGGAAATATGTGGTTGTTGTGGACATAAAAATTAATAAAACTCTTAGAAGCCTAGTTGATTGCTTTGGAGAATTAAAACCTGTGAACATGACACAGTTTCCTCTTCTGAGAAAGAGGGAGAGAATCACAATCCTTAAGTCAAGGGTTGTGAAGGTCAGGGAGTGGATTCACGCAGAGTGTGTCTCACGCTGCTGTCCTCATCTCCGCAGCTGGCTCAGAGACTACCACATCCCTGAGGCTCCGAGAGTGGTTCTTACGTTCCTGTCTATCATCAGTACTTCCTGAGACTCTCCCCCAAGCACCCCGCCTGGACACCTCCATTGCAAAGGTCCTCTGCTGCTCCTGGCGGTCATCCCTGTGAAATAATAATTCCAGTGGAACCAAGAACAGGCTCTGCTCACCTGGCCCCTGGACATGAATCCAGAAATGGGCCAACCCACCAAAAATCTATTCATGGCTGACCCACTCATAGAATGTCCAGTTTGCCAGACATCCATTTGCTGAGTGTGGTTCCCATTCTGACCTCTGTCACATTTCTGTCATTCAGTGAATTGTGTATGAGTGATAGCAACCTCAGTGTGGCTTCTGTCACCTCCTCTGACTTTCTGGGGTTTCCCAAGACCCAGGCCAGCAATCGTGGGGATACTTCTGTGCAGTGACCACAGCTGCACCGTGTCTGTGGTGATGGGGTCCCCACCCACAGGGCCTGTGGGCCTGTCATCCATGGAGGGCAGGTCCTGATCCCAGAGGCCTGGGGTGCAGGCGTCCCCTGATCCCAGAGGCTCAGGGTGCAGGTCTCCCCTGATCCCTGACACCCGGTGTGTAGGTGTCCCCTGATCCCTGACACCTGGGATGCAGGTGTCCCCTGATCCCTGACACCCGAGATGCAGGTGTCCCCTGATCCCAGAGGCCTGGGGTGCAGGCGCCCCCTGATCCCAGAGGCTGGGGGTGCAGGTGTCCCCTCATCCCTGACACCTGGGGTGCAGGTGTCCCCTGATTCCAGAGGCCCAGGGTGAAGGCATCCCCTGGTGTTTCTCCTGGAAGGCCCTGCCCCCTCTCCAGGTTGGGGGAGCAGGAGAGCTGAGAACAAAGGGCTTCCAGGGCTTCCATTTGGAGCCTCCCATCTTGAAGGCTGATTTTTGGGTTCATTTCATCTGATTTCACCAGAAAAGAAAAGTGCCTGACTGAGGGAGGACCAGAGAGGGAGGGCTCAGTGGCTCCTGTGAACTGTCTTCATCATGCGTTTGCGGGGTCCCCCACCCCCAAGCCTGGCAGCTCTGACCAGGTCTCAGCCCACCCCCTCCACCTGGCGGCGAGGGACACTGTGTGGCCGCAGAGGCCAAGGTGAACAGCGGGACACGTGGGAGGCGCTCAGGTGGGCCTCAGCTGCTCCACGGCCAGCTCCGGCGGTTCCCCTGACACCCAGCACGGCGAGAGATGGCTCAGCCTGCGAAGAAACAGCAGAAAGGCTGTGCAGGGGGTCAGGGGTGGGGGTCGGGAGACAGAGCCAGAGCCCCAGCCCCTCTGCAGAGCCCAGATACACTCCTGCCCGCTGGGTTTAGTTTTAACAGAAACCAGGTGACCGTCCCAGAGGCAGGCAGGTGACACAGGACAGAACAGGTGGCCACCTGTGTGCCATGAGGGCAAAGTGAGGCAGAGACAGGAAGGACGGCCTGGGGTCCACCCCTGCACTGCAGGCGAGAATGGAGACCACTTCCCCACCTCGACCCCCTCCCCGAGGACATGAGGCCCCCGCGGCCCGCCTCTGCTCTAAGCTGAGCTCCAGAAGCAGCCCTCCAAGTGCAGGGACACTCCGTCCAGCCTGGGGCCTCCCGCTTCTCCAGCCCAGGACACCTCCTGGAGCATGCGGGTCCCCCACTGGGTCAGGCTCTGGTTCCCCAGGAACCCAGAGTCGGGCATGAAGAAATGCTGTCACCTTGTGGCTATTTCCTGTAACAACTTTAAAACTGGCTCTTAGTAGTCACAAGGCCCGAGGGGCTGTAAATGACCCCTGCCTGCAAGCTCTGTCCTGGGGTAGACAACTGAAAGAGAAGGGGCAGACCTTCAAGAAGCCAGTTTCAAGAGGTAAGTTTTACTCACAGTGTTTAAAATAAAAGCTAACATGAAAAGATGCCTGACATTACTTATTAGCAGAGAAATGCAAATCCAAAGTACAATGAGGTATCACCTTGCACTGGTCAGAATGACCCTCATAAAAAGGCTACAAGCAATAAATTCTGCAGTTGATGGGAACGTACATTGCTAACAGCCACTCTGAAGAACAGCACAGAGGCTCCTTAAGAAAGTGAAATCAGGGCTTCCCAGGTGGCTCAGTGGTAAAGAATCCTGCCAACGCAGGAGACATGGGTTCAATCCACGGTCTGGGAGGATCTCACCAGCTGTAGAGCAGCTAAGCCCGAACACCTCAACCAGAGTGTACCCCCACTCCCCGCAATGAGAGTCACTAGAGCGTACCCCCACTCCCCGCAACGAGAGGCACTAGAGCATACCCCCACTCCCTGCAATGAGAGCAAGCCGGTGCAGCCATGAAGACCCAGCACGGCCACAAATGAGTAACTAAGATTATTTTTAACAGAAGGTAGAACGAGAGCTCCCAGAGGTCCCCTGGTCAGCACCTGTCTCTGTGCCTCACTGAGGCCTCTCAGGATCAAGCAGTTGCCTGGGGCCCTGGGCCATCTGACCGTGGCCTGACAGATGCCTGCAGACCTTACAGACCTACATCGCCCTGTGTGGGGGCGTGCTGGAGTTAGGAGGGGAAACACAGGTGACACATTGACCCACAACTGCAGAGGTTTCCTCCCTTGAGTGACAACCTCAAGACAACTCGACTTGTCGACAGATAACTCGACAGCAGCCCTAAGTTCTGGAGTGCTCCCGAACCCCACAGCTGTTCTTGAGGGGTACGCCCAGGTAGGGGCCCAGGTACCAGGTCCTACAGTTTGCTGAGGCTCCAAGCCCGCCTTCCATGTAAGCAAGACTGACCCAGCGAAGGCGGTTTGGAGGCCCAGGGTCCCAGGAGCTCTGTTCCTGGTGAGGCCGTCCACCTGGGGAGGGGTCCGCGTCAGCAGGGACCTTGCCTGTGGCTCCTGCTGCTTCCTATCTTCTCCCTCCTGTGCCCCCTGCACCCCATGAAGGTTCTCTCATCCTCACCACCTGCAGTGTCTGGCACCTCAGGACACCTCAACACAAATTTGATAGAGAATGAAACAGACGCATCCAAGAATTTCGGTCCTGAGATCCAGAGTAGGGAGCACCTGGCCTGGGGCTGGGCCCTGGAGTCTAGCGTGGACCCAGCCCTGGAGAAACCACGAGGGGTCAGTCCTCAACGTCCCCGAGGATGGAGGACCCAGACCTGCGAACACACCACGAGGAACCCTCACTTCCCCAGCGGCAGGTATCTCCTTCCTGGCCTCAAGGGGAATCTTCTGAAGCACAGGGGTGGGGGGAGCAAGCCAGGAAAGACTGACTCAGAGGTCAGGGTGGGATCTACAGACAAATCTGGTCCCACTTTTCAGTGGTCTTCCGGGCAGGTGAACATGCAGAGCCTCGTGACCACGAGAAGCACATCTGGACCGTCTGCTGTGAACATCAGGCCGGCAGGTGACAGCTCAGAGTGGGCTGAGTGGGTGGTGACCTTAGGGCAGAGCTGGTGCTGGGGGCAGTGGTACTTGGGGAGGGGGTGGAGAGGTGGGGACGGGAGGACACGGGTCAGGGATCTGAAGCACCATGAACTGCTCAAAGAGACAGCGGATATGTGGATAAGGAAGGGCCCCAAACACTCGGGATGGGGGTGGCGATGAGGGTTCTTTCGAACTTCAGCCTGGCCAGGGCACAGGGCACAGCGAAGGGTGGAAGAGTAATAACTGCCTGTGGGCTGCTCCCACCTCTAAATAATGCACACGAGGTAGATGCACTTCTGAACGTAATAAATCACTTACCTTTCCTTCATGGATTCCTTTACTCGTTCACTCAGTGAACACGTATGGGGCATGGAAATTCGTGTGTCAGGCCATGCATGAAGCTCTGAAAATAGACATAAACAGGTTAGTTCTGGGTGGGGTGGCTGGTGCTCCAGCGAGAGGGACTAGTTCATCAGGGGTGAGGAAGCCGTGAGCCTGACCACTGCTCTGTGGGGGCGCGGGCTAAGTGCACTGGGAGCTGGGAGGGTTGGGGTTAACCTGGAGAGAGCACCCCGCTCCAGACTTATGCAAACAGCACCAACGAGCAATTCCCTGGGGTCCAGGGGTTAAGACTTCACGCTTCCACTGCAGGGGGTGAAGGTTCCATCTGTGGTCAGGGAACTAAGATCCCATGTGGCACTCACCGCAGCCAAAAAAAGGCACCCATGAGAGTGAGCTTCCTCCTCGTGCTGGTCACTATAACTCAGTGAGGCATCAGCAGGTTGCTCCATCACAGAGCCTCGTCCCTGGCCCATACTGTCCACGGAAAGGACCCCAGGTGTCCTTCCATTCAGAGGACTCATGTCCGGGGCTCACCTGTCTCAGGTACCACTGCCGTTCTCACCCAGCCATCACACATGCTCTCAGATGAGAATAAAGCATCTTTTATGTAAGCCCAGTGGGGCCTGCACAATCATTTGAAGATGTTTGCCATGATGTCTGAAATGCACTCATCATCCTCTGATCTTCAAAGAACTCCAGGCAAACAGCCTGAGTGACTCCTGACGCTGCAGGTAGTAACTGTGTCACCCGACGGGACACAGAGGCCACAAGGGCCCTGGTGACACACATTCAGTTTGGCTTCAGCCAAGCTCAATTCTTTTTCCCGAAGACTGTCTTTACCTGTTTCTCGAAAAGTACCCGCCGCCCTGCTTTAATTCCTGTCGCCTGGGTACACTCCATTTCCTGAAATGGCCTCTAAGAAGTCTGTGAAATGAAAAGAAATCTCCCAGATTTCTTCCTCTTTGAAATATGTTCATTGTTCTGTGTTCCGAGTTAGGCACAATAGTGAGAACATTTCTTTGGGGCAATAACAATGGAATATCCGGAAACCTTTGACCACAGTATAGACGCAGAGACGAGGCACCCACGGGGTAATGCAGGAATCAGGCATTATTAAGGTGGCAGTCATTGAAGACGACAAGCTCAACATGAAGCGTGCCTTCCTCCAAGGTCAGGCTGGGTCAGAGGACTCGACTTCCAGGAGTGAAGTGGATTATCTGTCCAATTTTCTCTCTGCTGACGAATGCTTTCCCCCATCCTTCCAGTCCACAGAACCAGACTAACAAAGTATCAAATACTGTCCCAGGGAGATGCTGAGATACATGCATTTTGTTGAGTTTTATTAAAAATAAATACATCACTAACTGAAGCTACAGTCTTGAAACAGCTTTCTTAGAAACATAGAAAGTCCTGATCTCTGTCAGGATCCAGGCGGGTAAGAATTGTGCTAGGATGTAACTGACAGCTTTATTCTTAGGGCAGAAGAACTCTTGCAATCAAGAGTTCTTGATCAGTGATCAGTGATCTGATTTTCCCCTTGGGATCTTTCTGTCTCCCAAACTGAAGTGTCGTGAGGACATGAGTGAAGTGAAGTGATAGTCACTCAGTCATGTCTGATTCTGCGTCCCCATGGACTATACAGTCCATGGAATTCTCCAGGCCAGAACACTGAAGTGGGTAGCCTTTCCCTTCTCCAAGGGATCTTCTCAACCCAGGGGTCGAACCCAGGTCTCTCGCACTGCAGGCAGATTCTTTACCAGCTGAGCCACAAGGGAAGGCCATAAACAGGGCTTAAGGACACAAACAGAAGACCTAACATTCTGTGGTGGTGAAGGTGTGGTCCAGCCAATACAGAACCCACAGGCCGCTTCCAGTGTCCCCGTGAGATCAGATGGGCACTGGGCAGCGGCTGGTCACCCACTGGGCACTGCCCGGGGATGCCAGCCTGATCTGACACACAGTGAATTCTCCATCATAATATAATAAATAACACCCGCTCCAGCACCCACGATCAGCATTTCATTACTTCTGCACACAAACTGTACACTGCTCGTGGCTGTGATTCATGGTGGTGGGGTGGTTCTAATCCCTCCCAGGTAAATTGGGAGTAAGGGTACATGAGCGGGCAGAGCCAGCTATTGGTTTATGAGAATCTGCTGTTAGTCCACCAACATCTTCTTAACCAAAGTTTCCCTAATCTTTTCATGGGGTTTGGAATATATTTGCTCACCTTGTTTCAAGCTGGAAATCTCAAGAATTATTCATGGACTTTGACCTCCTAAAATCAACTGTACATTTTTTTTGCACGTATCTACATCCAGACTTTTTTAAGAAGAGGGTCAAGCAGCTTTGATCATATTCTCTGATATTAAAAAAAAATCCCAGTGCTCTAAGGACTCACTAGGGTATAGACAATAGACAGGAAATTTAAGTGTGAATTCCACACAATAAAAGGAAAACTAAG